AAATATCCAGCTATTAAGAATTTCTTTAAACTCTATAAACATCTACAGAATTTAAAGAAATATGAAATCCTATGTATTATAACTCTCCTACTAATTTCTTTTTGTGTCTCTTTTTAAAATCCAGCCAGGCTAATAATACGACAACTCTAAGAAAGTTGTGATCATACACCTATTGCCTCTCCTGCGCAAGCGGCCTCCTCACATCTGTCGGTAGCACACTAACTACCTCGCCAGTTTCCATCGCCTCCCAGGCAGTTTCCCCAGAGTCAGCTGTTCTCTCCATCAAAATTGATTGGCTCACCCTTGTAAGAAAAACAAGCCAAGTTCAAAAGGTGAGAGATTGCAAAATAAGGTTCCTCTTAATTGAAAAAAAAAAAAAAATAGAAACACATCTTATTAAGGCCACAGGTACTGGGTTTAATTATCGATGTAAAACCTCCGTAGAATGAAATGTGTTAAGAAAGAGCACCAGAAACCAGGAAATCCTCAAGAACCTACTTCTTTTCTCGGACACTAAGGAAAACTAGGTTGTCCACATTAAGATGGGAAAATGTGCAACGCTCCCAGATATGTGGATTTCATGAACTTCTTAAAAACCATTGCAAATGGCTGTTGGAAGGCAAGTGTCTTCACGTAAGGTCATTTTAATTTTTTTAAAAAAGAAATTCGTGATATGATATGAGGCATGCTTCAAAAAACCCGAATTTGGGCAGTGAGAAGTGGTAGAACTACATGTTTATATAATACATGGTCCACAAGATTGAGCTGACAATTATTAAATCTGGGTGACGTATCTATACAGCAGTATCTTATATTACCTGATTTTTAGTTTGATTTCCATTATAATTTTAAAATGTAAAAAGCGGACATTTTGGGGTGGTGCCTGTGGTTCAGTGGCTAAGGCGCTGGCCCCATATACTGAGGGTGGTGGGTTCAAACCTGGCCCCTGCCAAACTGCAACAAAAAAATAGCCCGGCATTTTTAGCCTCCATGTAGTCCCAGTTACTTGGGAGGCTGAGGTAAGAGAATTGTCTAAGCCCAGGAGTTGGAGGTTGCTGTGAGCTATGATACCATATCACTCTACTGAGGTCAATAAAGTGAGACTCTGTCTCTAAAAAAACAAAAGGAAAGAAATAAAGTGGACATTTTTAATATTCCTCTAAGGCATAATCTCAGAGAAAAAGGGCAGTTCTTTAAGTCAAAGCTATAATTCAGCTTGATAAAAGTATTCACTAGATTTCAATAGCAAACAATGAATGCTATTTCATGGACCAACTAGCACCTTTGAAGTATAGTTGTCCTGCCATATCTGTGAGTTCTACATCTGTGGATTCTTTGAACTTCATATGGAAAATACTCGAAGAAAAATAATGGATGGTTGCATCTGTACTGAACAAGTACAGACATTTCCTTGCAATCATTCCCTAAGTAATATAGCATAACAACTATTTATATAGCATGTACGTTGTATGATGTGTTATAAGTAATCTTGAAATGATTCAATTAAAAGTATATGCAGAGGTTATATGCACCTTCAAGGCTACATCACCTAATCGACGGGCATCTGTGGATCTTGGTATCCTCAGGGTACCCTGGAACCACTTTCCATGGTGGTATCTGTGAGATACCAAGGGACTGCACTGCTTTGGGAGATGGTTTGCTGATCTAGCCTAGGGCCTTGAATCAAGGTTGGTAGTACAACTTCATCTAGACAAATGAAAGTTTTTCTATTGCCCAAGAGCAAGAGTATTGGAAAATAGGATGAAGGAACTTCCACTTTCCCTATTAAAGGAAAAAGAGAAAATGACTTCCAAACACAGTATCACAGGGAAAAAAAGGCAAGCTTACCTGGTTTCATCTCCAATGATAGGACAACTTTCATGTCATTGAACCACCCCCTGTGCTCAACACGGCAACAATACAAGCCACCGTCAGCCTCAGTGGCATTCTCTATAGTTAAAGAGACATCCCCTTTCAAAATATGCCCTCTTAGCTTATAACGATTGTGCTTCTGAAAGGTGATACGGGACCCATCAGTCCATACAATTTCATCTGAGCACTTAAATACAGGACACACTCCTCGGCCCCAGCACATGGATGTGACTTCTCCACCAGACACTGCATAGGTGCAAGGTAGTGTGGCAGGCTGACCCACCACTCCGCTCACATGTAGATTAGAAACTGCAGCATCTGCCAAGAAAAGAGAAGAGAAACTGAGAAGGAGACATCCATATTCTCTTTGAAAACTCATTTTACTTTCTCATTTATTTTTAGTTTTTCTTTGTTTTTTAAAGTATGACTTTATCACTTAAATTTTAAATTTTAATATTATAAACACTTTTCCATGTTAGCAAATTTTCATCAATATCATCATTTAATAGATATACTTGTGAATAAGTCAGTATGTTATCCTGTATAATGTTCAAGATATTTTTCAGCTTTCTTGCGGTAAATAACTTTGCAGTCTTTCTGCCTACAGCTTTTCTGCATTTAGTTTTTCTATAAGAACATAAATCTAAGAAAGAAATTCCCAGGATAAAGGTCAGGAAAGTTTTCACTTATTTCATGAATATAGGAGCAAATTGCTCTCCAGAGGACTCAAACCAAATGGCATTCTAGCGATGCATGAGTGTGTGTTTCTCCCTGAATTGGCCAGGTTATCTGCTTGTTATTTATTTTTAAAAAGATAAGACATACACGTGGGTTTAAAAATTAAAGAATCCCCAAAGGGCTTGTGGTGAAAATTCTTCCTCCCAAACCAGCACCCCCGTCTCCTCTTCCAGATACACTGTTGTCAGTAGAAATACACTGTGTTTTTTTAATTCTATTTCACTGAAATTTCAAAATTTTCATTTTCATTATAATTTTAAAACTGCTATTACAAGTGAAATCACCTTTTCACTACTCTTCCCCACTACCACACAAAAAGTGGAGATAATGGGGTTTTTTTTGTTGGCTTGAGGGCAGAAGTGTAATAAACTACAGAAGTCAAATTTTAGGCCTGACACAGAGGCTAATGCCTGTAATCCTAGCACTCTGGGAGGCTGAGGAGGGCAGATGGCTTCAGCTCAGGAGTCTGAGACCAGCCTAAGCCAGAACAAGACTCCATCTTTACTAAAAATAGAAAAACTGAAGCAAGAGGATCACTTAAGCCCAATAGTTTGAGGTTGCTGTGAGCTATGATGCTATAGCACTCTACACAGGGCGACAGAGTGAGATTCTGTCTCAAAAGAAAAAAAAAAAGAAGGGGCAGCGCCTTTGGCTCAAAGGAGTAGAGCGCCAGCCCCATATGCTGGAAGTGGCGGGTTCAAACCCAGCCCCAGCCAAAAACTGCAAAAAAAAAAAAGAAGTCAATTTTAGGAAATGGGTGTATAATACCTCCAGGAAGAGCTGAGACATCTCACGGGCCTTAGAAATAGTCCACAAAAAAGACTAAGCCAGGGTGCCTTCTCATAAGTTGATAGCCCAGCAGCTGAGGAAGGCCCAGTTATCCGGGTGAAACCATAGAGAATCATTAAGTACTAAATTATGCCACTTGAAAAAAAAAACCAAAAAACTATTTTCTGGGAAAGTGGCATAAAAATCCTGCTGCCAAATGAGGTCTAGGTGGCCCTTAAAAGAAATCTGAGATTCCCTAACTACTCATATCCTGGGCTATGAGTTTGAGGAGTGCTCTCAGAAAAGATGCTCATTATAACACACAGAGTATAAGGCATGCTGTGATAATCAGATTACAGAAGTATGTAATAATGAACTCTCCCCTGTAATACCACCCTCCAGAGATTAGCTTTTAAAATCTAGGATATGCCTATTCCAAATTTTGTCCTATCTCACAGAATGTTTTGAATTAAAATATTTATTTTAAAACAAAGAAATTGAACATGGTTTTAAAAAAAAATAATCAAAAAGGACAGAGTCATACAATGAAGGGCTGCCTCTGCCTTCTACCCCGAAGGCTCACTTCCCTCTCCCCAGTCCTCCCCATGGTAATGACACACTCCTATGCATACACCTCTACACTGCTCTTTTTTGTGCAAACACCAAGGGTAGCATGTGACACACTCTTCTGCATCTTCCCTTGTTCACTTTGCCAGGGATTTTGTCATTCACAGCAGGTAAGCAATGTCTGTGGAGTAAAATTTCATCCTAGTTCTTTGCTCACTGATGAACTCATAACCATCTAACAATGTTCCAAGCACATCTTTCTTTCTCTGCCTCCCCACCTACTATCCTTCTACTCCCCCCGCCTCTGAGCTCCTCAGCCCCTCAGCCCCTCTACTCACTTACCTGTTAGAAATAGTATAAGGCTTGAGATGACCAGTCGAGAATGCATTTTGGGGGCAGCCTGAAGGAAAATGAGCAGACAGACTGATTGGTTTTTCCCCTCATCAGATGGTATATAAATAAGTCTCAATTCTCAGCTCTCTACTTCTCTTTTCCCCCCGACTGTGTGAATCACATGAGCCTGCTGTGCTGAAGACAGGAGAAGACCACACACTTCAGGGTTCACCGAGGTCTTCAGAAACAACCTCTATTTCCCAGCCTCTTCCCCACACGTGGCCTCCAGACTGACCCCTGGTCCTGACACAGGAGGTAAGGAAGCAAAGAGAAGAAACAGAAGACAGAGAAAGGAAACAGGGCAGCCCACAGAACACACCAGAGCAAAGACCAGCCCTCCAATGGCAGGGATGCACTTGCTGCAAGTAACGAGGCCTTGTTGTGGTGGACACAGGGCTCAGGGGTCACAGTGATTAGGCCCTATGGTTAGCAGTTTTATTGCTATCTTTGAGATCAGCTAGAGGAACTGAGAAACAGTGTGAATCACCGTGTCTAACCATTCATGCTACCGGACAGTCTGACTCACACTACGTCTTCCTGAGGAATGTCAAAGAATGCTGCAAGGAGCAGAAGCCTGGACCAGAGTTGGCTTCAGATCCAAGCTCTGCCATTCACAGAGCTGGGTAACTGACCCCTCCGAGCCTTGACTTTCTCATTTGTAAAATAGCACTAAAAATATCTGCTCTGTCTCCCTCACAGGAATGGTGTAATGGGCAAAGGGGCTGTACAGGAAGAACTTCAAAACCTCAACTTATAACATGCACTAGTAACACTAGCTAAGATTTTTGGAGAATTTATTACATAGCAGGCTTTGTGCTAAGAATCCACATGCATTTCACCCTGAGGCAGGTGCTGTTATTAACCCCATTTATGTAGGAGGAAGCTGAGTCTTTGGGGAGGTCAAATTGAACTTAGATTCCAGGGTTTGGGCTTTGACTTTTGCTCTTAATCATTAAACTATAAAAATATGAGTAAGCCTTCCTAGTACCTCATTAACTCACTTCTGGTCCAAAGATTCAGTAACTTCCTCTGGGGGGGGAACTGGGGATCCCCTTCTGGCCTCCTTACAGTCCATGACAGGCTTCATGGAGAGGTGGAGGGTCTTGGCTTACTGTGCTCCCCGACCCCACCCTGCCTAGGAGTGGGCACCCCCAACTCCAATAGCCTCAGCACATGGAGGAGACTAGAAGCCTGATGCCACCAACTAATGGCCCCAAGTCTATATTTGGCCTGCAGAAGTTTTGTATGGCAGTGTTTGAAAATTCATTTTTTAATAGCCAAAATTTTAGAATCCAGAGAACCCACATGAAGCTCAGCTTTTTGACTTTTTGTGAAATAAAAAAAGATGGCAACACAGCCCATTCCACTCTGTTCCTTTAGAGTTCTTCAGCCTCTCTGCTCACCTGGGGGACTCAGTGACATGGGCAGGCCTTGGTGGGAAGGAGGCTCTTTCCATAGACCTTCCTCCACCTTCTTGAATGAGAGCTCCTTCCTGTCACTGAGCCTTCACACAGGATGTCCCACCAGCTACTTGCTCATATTATGTTCTTCCATAAAAGGAGTGTTAGATGATGATCTTTAATAGCCCTTGCAGCTTTGCCCAACTGTTCTTCACACTCTTGAATTAAACGGTATGACAACACGAGTTTTAACCAAGGAAGAAACATGTCGAGATACTTGCTATATTGTTTTATTTTCTGCCTTTATATACTTGAAGGGGACACTACTGATTCCATCTCAGAAACCAAAGGTGAGGGGACAAATGGTTCAGCCAGAAATTAAATCATGCCTTATTTATTCGGGAGGAAAAATACTTTATGACTAGTTTTATTATACTCACACTGGGCCAAAGCCCAGTCGATGATAAAGACTTTTTAAACTTAATTCAGTTCTATCAGTGATTACTAATATACTGAGGCTAATGAGGCATAACTCAATATACCAAGAATGTAAAAAATCCAGAATTGTGCAATCAGGCTGAGACACAGTTAAATAAGCAACTAACTAATACAATCAGGCAGAATGAGATAACTGGTAAATATCCAATTAGACCATAACACTCCCCCAATTACAACTCTCCCATAGCTTTTGCAGAAAAAAGAAGCAAAAAGTGTGGTCCTAGCACTCTGGGAGACCAAGGCAGGAGAATGGCTTGAGGTTAAGAGTTTGAGATCAGACTAAGCAAGTGATAGTCCTTCTCTTCTAAAAATAGAAAATTAGTCAGGCATGGTGGCTCACACACGTAGTCCCAGCTACTCAGGAGGCTGAGGCAGGAGGATAGCTTGAGCCAGGGAGTTTTCAGGTTGCTGTGAGGTAGCCTGACACGTGGGCTCTCTGGCCCAGGCAACGGAAGTCCCCCCAAAAAATAATAAAGTAAAAAATTTCCAACTCCTTAGATTTATAAAACCACAGTGATCTGGCCCCTACCTACCTCTAACTGTTTTAATTCTCTATGCAGAACTATTATCTTATTTCTCTTTGATATATTTATCCATGTGCGTGATGTACAGAGTACTTGTCTCTCTTCTCTCCTGTATGGTGCTGGCCAAAACTCTGATGATAGAGTTATTCTGTATGGACTCTGTGCAGTACAAAAGCCTCTAGCCACATGTGACTATCTGAGCACGTGTAATGCTACTGGTATCACTGTGGGATTTTTAATTTTTTAATTTAATTCGATTTTAGTTAAGATTTAAATTGCTACACATGGCTACCTTGTTGGACTGAATGCAACTCTACTTTACCATAAACTCCTTTAAGGTAATTTAAGTATTGATTGAATAGATAAATAGAAGTATAAAGGCATGAGGAGAGGCCATTTTTACAGGGTACAGGAAGAAATCCTTTAAAAAGTGACTTGTTAATAGTTGGAGAAGAGTGGGTGGGGGACAGGGAGGAGGAAGTGATGAGCGAGAGCCTAGACAGGGGTGCAGACCCAGGGCTCTGAGATGCCAAATGATTGTATAATCCCATAGGATTGGATTTCTAACATAAGTCCATCTCCCACAAGACCCCACTATGTCCAAAAGCACCCCAAACAATATGGCACAATAGATTTTTTTTTTTAATTTGAGCTATATGACCTTCTTGAATCACCATTCCTTAGATAAGTTCCTGTGGGGGGATGTGTGGGTGTGTATGTGTGTATGCATGCACATGTCGTCTCCCTCTGTAACCCAGGCTAGAGAGCCATGGTGTTGTCATAGCTCACTGCAGCCTCAGACTCTGGGGCTCAAGTGATCCTCCTGCCTCAGCCTCCAAAATGCAAGGACTACAGGCATAAGCTACCAACCAGGGCATGAATTACCACTGTTTAGTGTCACCTTTGGGCCCCTGCAGGATATACTCCAGTCGCAGGGTCAGACCCAATGAGGTGACAATACTTGGACACAAAACCTGAATTTCCAGCAGTTTGCTAGTGAGCTTCATCTGTGTAAACCAAGATTGACACATAGTGAGTTCCAAAAATGAATTAATTTACCGTTCCTTCCTGCAGCTGTCACTTACTTGCCATCTCCACTGCACACTCAGCTGACCACCAGCTCCACCCTCCTACAAAATAGTCTGCCTATCGTCATATTTCCCATGCTTTCTCTAGAGCAAGGAGTCCTTTGCCTTCCTCCACAGCTAGGATCACCAAAGTCAAGCCCACTCCATAGACCTTGTCAGTCCCTTCTCATCACCACCACTTCCTCTCAGGCCTGTGTGTGTATCCAAACTTCTGCTACTTCCCCCTGAGCTGCTGCCTTTCCTCCGACTTGCCCCTGCTTGTCGTGCCCACTGCCCTAAGCTAGTTGTTTTCCTTCACTTAGTATTGATTTAAAAAAAAAAAAAAATGATGCTCATAATATTTCGGAAATCATAGAAAAATAAAAATTACAAGGTACTCATGCTTAAATCAAAAATACATAATAGCAAAAATGTATTTATTTTACAAATATTTATTATTTGCAATATATTAAACACAATCCCATTCATTTGGAATTTATCAATGGAACAAAGACTCCCTGGCTTCATGCAGCTTACATTTAACTAGCATAAACCTACAAAAACTTTTTAAAGTAACAAAAATGTAATTTATTGGCATATTACTAGGTGATATGTGCCAGTGGGAAAAAAGGAAAAGAATACACAGAGCAAGGTAAAGAAGTTTGGGGGTGCAGGGCTGGGAAGGACTGTGTTGCAATTTTTAATAAGGTAGTCAGGTTTGAGTAGAGTGTCAACTAAGTTCACTGAGAAGGTGATACCTGAGCCCAGACACAGAACAAGGGCCTTGCCAAGCCACAATGAGTTTTGCACAGGGAGAGACAGGAAGGGCAGATGCTCTCAGGCAGGAGGGTGCCTGATGTGTTCTAGAGCAGGGGGAGAGACCAGAGAGACTGGATCGGAGTGAGGGACAGAGAGCACAGAGGCGCCAGGGCACAGGGCAAATGTGTGGGGCCTACAGGCCAGTCTGTGAGGATATAGGCTTTGACTGCAAGGGAGAGGAAGTCACTGCAGGACTGTGGGTTGACAGGATCTGTCTTCTTTTGAGAAGGGCCACTTCTACTGCCAGGCTAAGCAGAAAGACCTGTCAGCAAACTATTCAGAAGAAAAAGGGTAGCAGCGGGTAGGCAGCACGCAGGCTCTGGGTGTTTAGAAGGTGGAGCAAATGGAGTTTTCTACAGGATGTGCGAGTAGGAAGAGGAGCCTAAAGATGGCTCCATGGGCCTTGGGGCAGAGCAACTGCAAGGACCCGAGGTACCTCCAGATGGTGAGAGCTGCATGTGCTACGGATTTTGAAGAAAATATTCTGGGTTTTGGTTAGGAATGAGATTTGTCATAGGATTGAGAAACCTGGAGCTTATTAGTGATATTAGCATTTTATATTTCAGTAAGAAAGTTGCAAGGAAAAAGGAAATAAAGAGATAATTCAAAACTGAGAATGCCTTCAAGGAGTTTTGCAAAAAGAAGAGCAAAAAATGGAAAGAAGTTGAAGTGTAAGGTCAAGAGAAA